TTTACGAGATAAAGATAACAAATTATCTTGAGTTCGAAAAATGTTTGTTTCCTTTCTTTGTAGAGATAGGCATGTTTCATTCAACTTTGAAAAAAAAACATCTGCTAAATATGTAAGTTTTGCACGCCATACATTATTTCTTAATCTGTCAGACAAATTAAATTTATGTTCAAGAAAGTAAAACTGAAATTATTTTATCAATTCAACCATTCTCATCAGCACATTTCCTCTTGAAAGCCACCTTCTGTATATAAAAGAAGAGTCGTTTGATGGCTACCCATATCTTCGCATAAAGCTTTAAATATGCTTGATTGTAATGGCCGAGTCTTAATAAACTTGATAATTTGCACGGCTTCGTCCAAAACTACCTTTAATGAAGCAGAAATTCTTTTTGTCACTAATGCGTATCTGTGAAGAATGCAGTGATTACTGCTGCAGTTTTTTGCAGCATTTTTTATTCTAGTTACAGCACCAGACAATTTTTCCATCATAGCTTTCGCTCCATCAGTGCACACTGAAATGCATTTATCCCAACCCACTTTGAGAACCACTTGTTTAAACCAATGCAGAGCAATGACAAACGACAGTTTAAACCTCTGTCGTTTGTCATTTATAGTACAAAATTCTTCATCCGAAGTGCTTGTGACCGGAAATGTTTCGGATTGTGGAAGATTTATGTATTTGCCCCGCCGAATCTCACATAATCTTGATCCATCTTGAACAAAGTTATTGAGACTAAGCTTCGACGTCCTGGTTTGAAATTGTAGTCTTGTTGGGCTGCAATTTGCAAAAATTGTAGACCTATAAATTCTCATATCTGTGTGTTGTCTGACTTTCCTTAATCTCCGGAACAGAGTTAGATACATGAAAGTCGAGACCAGATACAGAAAGCTTGGGGGCAGGAGGCTTCAATTAAGTATAGGACTATACAAACTTTCGATGCAAACCGGAAGTCATGTTATTTTTATTCAAATCTTTCCCCTGAAAGGAGTTTAGATGACGGACATGACTACTGCAACAGGAAAAGTATGATGTACACTACAGAGGCAAGACACTATTAATTTGAGGTGGAGAGCATATATTTTAAATTGCATAAATTTTAAAAATATGATTAAATATTGCAGCCTGGCATTGTGACAATGTCAAAATAAATAATTTCTCGTCGTTTCTAATTGGTTTCGTTATTTTGGCTGCTTGTTTTAACTAAGTAAATTAGTTTGTCTGACTTTTTTTTTTTATTATGTCGCTTTATTTAAGATATTTTTATTAATTTTCGATAAAACAACAAAAATGTTCACGTTTATGCGAATGTTTTTTACCTTGCTGTTATAACAGAGGGAAAAAAAGTATGGCGATCGGTCAAAAAAATGACCTCCAAGATTTTTGCGTTTTTTGGACTTAAGACACCTTGAAACGCCGAGAAATGTAAAAATTTCGGGGGTCATTTCTGTATGTATTGATGTTGGTGTGTGGAGACACGATTTGTCCACACTCGATGAAGCTTAATAACTCCTGTGCTTTTTGTCGAAAATTTCTGAAATATTGCAGGGAGGTTTGTTCATTAGGGGGATTGATGCTATTAAATTTTGGTGATTAAAGGTCGAGAGGTGGGGAGATAATGAGGGTCGTGTGTATCTCCAGTAGAGTCGATCTTAATGACGATTTTACTCGCTATTAGCATTTACGTTTTTTTATAACACCCATCCCTACCCTCAAAAATAAGCTTTTTGCGGTTTTATAATAGTGTGAAATTCGAAGTTCATATAATTTCATAAAAGAAAGTAATCCTTTAAATTTTTAATAAATTTAAATAAAAAAATTCCTTTAACTAAAGGAGTTTGGACCTACAAAAACGAAATATAAAGTGCATGAGGGATTTATAACTCTTTCGGTTTAACTATAAACATTCTCACGATCAAACCGTGCATAGTTTACACTTACAGGCAAAATTCGTCATATTGTTGTCATTCGATCACCACCTTTAACTCCACACCTGCTAAAACAATTGATCACCTGATTTTCCCACCGAAAAAGGTATAAAAGCCCGACACCTTCCCCTCATCGGGGGAATCGCCGAACGTCGAAGTCAGACATCGCCTTCTCCATTGCAGCCCCACACTCCCATCACAGACCTACACTTTCGTCGCCGACCTATACTTGTGTCACCGCTCAGAATCCATAAAGGACGACATTACGGGAAAATATCCCACTAGTATATGCAAAGAGGTATGAACGCTTGTTATTGTAAACTCTCTCTCTCATCCGCGAAGTATATGAAGTTTTGTAAAATTTTTATTTAGTTAGCTAGTAAAATAAACCGTTGTTTTGTTTTGTGGTGTCGTTACTCGACTTTGCCAATGTCTTATCGTCGACCCCTCCGACTCTCCTCCATTCGCGTAACGCGTAACGGAATGTTACTACCATCCCTGACAAGAAAGTAGGTCACCGACCTGTGGCCGGAAGGAGCGGACTCCTCTTACTTCCCGGTGGCTCACAAATTGGTGTCACGGGAGTGGGGTTTGAATCTAAAAATTCCCTAGAAGCATCACAATTGTTAAAAATATAAAACGTTTTTAATAAAATATGGTAATAGATGGCGCCACCAAAATTTTAAATATTGCCGGGAAAGTTTAGCAACTCGTTGATGGTTTATTTTAAAATGTATTTACAGTACCTGTAGTAGACGTGTGTCTATATATTTTAAAAGCTCTCACATAGACGTGTTAATTTTAGATATAGTCATGTAGAGGTGTTAATTGATCTGTTTGGTAAGAATGCATATTTGTTTAAATTTTGAATATTTTGGTAAACAAATTAAAAATTGAGATCAAAAAGGGCAGAAAAATCATGTGGACGGAGCTCCCAACTAAAAGGGATTGGGGACTACACTGGGTTTCAATCTGCAGTTTAAAATAGTCAGCATTATACTCTGCCTGTTAAAGATCCAATTGCAAAAAAGATGCAAACAATTGAAATAATAATAATAAACAAAATTAATAAACCTTCAAATTTTACGATTTTTCAATGTTTGTTAATAAAATTACATTTACCACTAATTGTAGTCTTATTTACTTGACCAAAAACAAACAGGATATCAACATTAATACAAGAGTCCAAAGTGGTTACATTAAGTGAATTCTACTATATTCATTTGTTTTTTATTCTGGCTTTATTTTAACTTTGGTTTATCATTCTTTTTAATTTAGTCTAATTAAAATACAGTAAATATATTTCTTTAAAATAGTTACTCTAACTCTTAAGTTTTGGCACATGCACACTTTTATAGTGAAGTGTGCCTATTTTGGTACATATACTGAAAAAGGTCCTTCACCCTTGGCCAGATGGTTCAAAATGTCATTGTATCACTAAGACATCTGGATTTCAATTTGAGTGCTTAGTATCAATTTATTTGTGTAGAACTAAGAATGTATTTGAGTATGTCTTGTTTGGTCTCACTGAATAAGTTTGTACTGTGACAACATTAACATATGAGTGGTGCCATATGAATAAATCAATTAAGTATTCTAGATGTTGATAAGTTTTTGAGTTATTTCTGATTGAGGCATCATTCCCTATTTATTCATTCCTGTTTTGACCAATTTCAATGCATACATGTTGAAATTGTGGGTAGATTCTAACCCTTAATAGGAAAAATTCAGATTAGCCATTGTTTTTACTTCTATGTCCTTAATGTTTTATTTTTTCTTTTTATGTTTTCCACTTGGACTTTGTTTATAAATAGGACTTTATATACTGGTGTAGTTCCTGATTAGCAAAAGAGAAGTCATTTCCTTTCTTTGCTAATCAGAAACTACACCAGTATAATGTATTCTTATATAGACAGTATAAAATTAAATTAGTCATATTAAATGTGCCTTACAAAATTTTGATTGAAGTTTGAATAGTGTACACATGTTTTGTAACATGTCAATATGGTAATTTCATAAATTTTGTGTTTATTATAACATATTTATATATCAATACCTACCTGAAGTGGGGGTTATGGTTGGGTTGGCTAAACCATTTGGGACAGCAGTCATTTGGGGTAACTGGGCAATGGCTAATGCAGTCATAGGATTCAAATAACTCCCTTGTGCTGCTGCAGCCATGATCGCTGCTTGTTGCTGCATGAACTAAAAAAGAGAAAAAAATTATTAATAATAAATAAATTTTATCTTTAATAATTTATAAATAAAATTATTGAAATTATAATTACAAATTATTTGAAATTTTTTCTACAAAGCAACATATGGTGTAAATTCAATAAAATTTGTTTATTTTTTTCTTTGTTTCTTTGCAGACACACTAAGGTGACATATNGGAGACATCATTAATATAAATAATTTTAATTGCCGTTGAATAAGAAATGTTTCTTTCACAAGAAATGTATAAAATTACAGTACTGTATTAGACTTACGGTACCTAATTTACATACTGTACAGACGATAGCTCGCCTAAACTCTCTGCAGTGTGGCACTAGATGGCGGAAACTATACATATAATTATAGTAAAGTTAAAATAAATTAAGTTAATATATAATTATATATACAGTACTTAATTTATATATAATTAATATATAATTATATGTACAGTACCTAATTTATATATAATTTATATATAATACTGTACAGACGATAGTTAAACTCAACTTACCCACCTAAACTCTCCGTAGTGTGGCACTAGACGGCAGAAAATAGTTCGGCTGCTCGTCCGCGATGATGAGTTGGCAATGACATTTTACCGCATTTTATGCGTCCCTTTTAGCGTCTTTGTACGAATACTGATGCAATTTTTTCGCCGCATCATAGGAATCTACGTTATTGGAACCCGCATTATAGCGGGGTCTACTGTATTGAGATTTAATTTGTTTTAATGTACAGATTCTTTAATGAATTGATATGAGATCACAAAATTAATCTATGTTAATAATTAATTTTTGTGTTGATTTGTGATAACTGTCTATTACTTCAGATTTTCATCACTTTAAAATATAAATCTTTTGCATCAAGGTCTTGGTTGAAAAACTATTAAGGTGTTGCCCAAATGTTAAAACTGTTTATCTACTACTGCGGTCGAAAGAAGGACAAGATCCAAGACAGAGGCTTGACGAATTATTAAATGTAAAGGTAATTTTTTTAGTAAATTTTCTTATTTACTGATTAAAAGTATTTTATTTTATCATAAAAGTAATAAAAGTATTGATTTCATATATTAATTACATTTAAAATTTCATTAGTGTTTTAAAATAGTGCCTTTGGGCCACACAGCTAAAGTTTTAAAACATCAATCTATCACTCTAGGAGTCCTGGGACCAAATCCAGGCAAGCAACTTCCAGAATTTTTCATAGGTGGTTTAACCTACATATGTTGGGCCTCATCCCTCACCATATAGTCACTTCCATTGTTGTGCTATTAAAATGCATGATGGGCACAGGAAAAAAGCCTGTTCTGAGTGGATGGCTGAAGTGACTCACATACCTGCTAACATAAGGAATGTAGGTTTGAGTGTCAGTAATATCTTTGGAAATTTTCCAGGAAATTGTCCTGGATATGTCAGAACTCATTTTATCACTTTTGTCCCCTCATTATAGGTCTCTGAATCCATAATAGGCATATTTATGAGCTCTTGTTGTCTGCAGGTTGAAGAGAATTAAAACAACAAAAATTAAAAGAAAACCTACATACTGTATTTATTCACATATAAGATGAGGTTTTTATTCATTTTTCACTGCTTCAAAAACCTAGGTCATTCTATACATGTGAGCAAAGGATTCTTTACATTTTTTGCAATAATTTTTGTGAACTATGTATTTGCATTTTTTAGCAGATGCTTGCCCTATGGTGTTTAAAAACAAAAGTATTTTATCTAGGTCGTTTGAATCATTTTTGTGTATTATCAAGAGCAAAGATCAATAGCAATAGGAAAAACAAAACTTTTGAATTGAATTCCAGATTAAAATTCCAAAATCACACAGGAGCCTAATATAAGTTTTAATCCATTCCCACGTGAAAACAGATGATTATTAGGAAATCAGAATTTGGAGAAACTCATAACTGTAATTGATGGAGAGTGGATTCAACTGTTAAGAATTGGCAGAAAAGGTTCCCAATTGTCCAGCTTTACATGAACAAATTATGTTGTTGATTTTACAAGATTTTTCTTTGAAGTTTAAAATGGCAGTAATTTTTGCAGGACAATGTGTACATTTATGTGCATTTGATATTTTATTTGTGATTAAACAAAATAAAATTAGAATTGTAATAATAAATCTAATTTTCTTTATTTTGATCTTTGAAGTGACACCTTGTCTTATACACAAGTAAAATACGGTATATAAATAGTAATGTTTTCATCAGCAATTAAATCTTTTAATATATATTTGCTTTTAGTTTAAATTTGATGAAATGAAAATGTAAATTAAATGCAAATATATGAAATATGTAATGTAAATATAAAAAGTATTATTATATAAAAAGTAAGTCTCCGTAATTTTGTGAACTTTTTAAAGGATTGCTGATGGTGAAAACAGCGAAAAGGAGGACAGACACAAAGTTTTAACTTTGTTAAAAAGTCGTATTTATATTTTTATGTATTAAATGTAAATAATGCAATCCATGAATTTTATTATTTTTACTTAAAAAGTATTATCTTGATATTCTTACAGATTTTTTTTTTATTTCTTGTTACTTTTTATTCATAGATCTATATTTATGTTCAATACATCTATATCAATGTTAAATGCAATTAAAAGCATTTTAACTAAATATTTTTGAAAATTAATTTTTTATTAACAGATCTAAAGTCACATAATATTATAATTTAAAATAGTATGTGACTTGGAGTTAATGACACAGTAAAACATGAGTTGGACTACTGATCAAAATATCCAGGTACCACTGCCATTGTCAGTAGCTAGTGTGCCAAGTTGATGAATTTCCACTAAATTGGGAGCTGGAGTTAGTAGTAAGCTTGTCTATAACTTGGCAACAGTGTAGCTAATACCTGAAAGTTTACTAGTGTCAGATTAATGGATGTAGTGAACTACAAAACAGCCATTTTACCAAGATTGTACTATATATATGTATTATTAAACACATCAGAATGATATCAATAGATGATGTCTCAGGTACCAAATCAAATTGGATGAGATACTAAAATGGTGAAACTAGACACTAAAAATTTATAGAAATACAGTAGAGCGTCAATTATCAGAATCAATTGAAGACTGGGGTTGTTCAGAAAATCGATTTTTCAGATAACCAATTATGTATGAAAAATACATTATTAATATAGTATATTAGTATATCCCAATAACAGTATATTAATATATCCCATATAGTTGTGTGTCGCTTCGCATTGAATTTTCATGGATGTTAAGCCTAACAAAAATTTTTATAATAATAATTGTGGCTATTGTATCGTTAAAAATTATTTCTTTATTTTGCACAAACAAAATAAATATATTGAAAAATATAAAAACAAAAAAAAATTAGAAGTTTTTTTAACTCTTTCTGCTCTGTGGGCACTAAGAGGGCCTCTTTTTACAAGCCCATTATGGATTTGACCAGGCCCACAATGGGGCTGCAGGTGAGGGATGGGACTCGACATATCCAAACAGACCACCCCCAAAAAAATTCCCGGGGATTTTTCAACCCATTCGGATTTTAACCCAGGTCCCCCAGAGTGGTATGCTGTCACCTTGACCACTCGGCCATCCGGCCGCGTATATATACTTTAGAAGTTAATCTAGTATCAAAAATGTTCAATTCAGCATGACATGGTCTAACTGGAACGTTTTCAGTTAACCGATGTTTCAGTTGATCAGCATTTGGATAATTGATGCTCTACTGTATAACTACTGTACAGTTCATCAGATTACTCTTAGGCTTACTTCAAGTTGCAAAATTATTCAGAATGATCTTTTTGCACACAGATTTGTGCTTGTGTAACAAGCACAAATCTGTGTGCAAAAAACCATGTGTTTCAACAGATTGACCAGAAAAATATATAATAAAAATTTAAATAAAGATGACATGACCAGAAGATTGCCATAAAACTATTAATTTTACAAACTTTCAATATTACAGCTTTTAATGAATGTTTTAACTTCATTACATCACCAACTACAGTAACAACTTTTTATTGAAGTTACAGTAGTTGGTGGTCGAATAAATATAATTCATGTACTGATTTAGTTATGTAATTGCCTTTTTAAAGAGCCATGTAAACATTTTAATAGAAAAACAGCAATAAATTCCAAAATGATTTTTTGTCTATATAAGACTCCAATGCCACTGCAAATGGATGGTATAATTCCCTCTACAGACTTTTCTTTTTAGAATATCAGTTAGTGATTGCGATAGAATCACTGAAATATTTTCTGAAATAAACTTTGTTTTGTTAAAAAAAAAAATATTCTTTTGTTAGGAATACTTGCTGTTACAGATATTACAAACATCTAGATTTTTTCCATATTGTGATTGATTCCAGTCCATTTTAGTCAATAATATTCTACTAGTCCACTTTTCTGAGAGATACTACATCATCCAAGGTCAGTTTTAAGCCATTTAATTTTGGGAATGTGAAAAAAATGTGTATGGGAATGAAGATAATCAGCATTCTAGAAATGCTGAGTACCTAACAGAATATTTATTGCAGGTTCTGTTATCTTTATTAGAAAAGAAGGAACGTATAAATGGAATACTGTATGAAATATTTTGCAATTGGTAGGAATAGGAATGTTTTGGAACTAAACATAAAATAGACTAAATAATTAAGACATACAGTATGTGAAATGTATAAATGGTATTTCCATTGTATATATATTTGCAATTTATTTCAGAAAAATTTTAAAAGTCATCATCAATAAGTATTAAGAATTTGTTTTAACTTTTATTTACTTATTTTCTTTTTTTTAAATAGCAGTTTGTCATTCCCAGTTAGTATTGTGTGATAAATAGCTATTATGATATATTTTAATCTAAAGTTAATTTTCTGGAAGACTAACAATAAGGTATAATTAGCATACAATTACATATTAGATGACAGTTGTGGGTTTGAACTCCATTTGAAATCATTGTTTTACAAGACAGAATAATTTAAATTCTTGAATCTATAAATTTACTTAGCTCAAATTTTTTAACAGATTTCCAATGGAATTAAATTTTCTTTCACCTCAAATATTTGTAAATTGGGTAATTTTTTTATTAATGTTAAAATAAACATTATATAGTTATAAATAGTTTAGTCCTCAATAAGTAAAAATTAAAACAATGTGATCGGTAATAATATACCCAAAATCTGAATACCGGAATGAATGTAGATGCATGCTGGGGAGAGATCACCCGGCATAAACTAGCAACTAGCAAGCAGTTAACTGTATCCACTGATGAGGCCTGATTGCAAAAGCAAAATGTATTTGGATGTTTTGGAATTTCAAAATCAATTCCTAAAAACATTATGGACTGGCCTGTTCCAATTCAAGACAATAAACCAGAAGAGAATGGAATTATTAAAAATAAAGGTTTAGTATTTCTTCATTATTTCGTTTGTCTGCCTGATTAAGTCTCTCGGAGTTGGATGTACAGAGTATATTTACTTCTTTTAATCTAGAAATAAGTTTATTTTTAGAATTTACAATCTTGTTGGATGGTTTAGTCCTCATTTTGTGCATAAATATTTCACTTTTAGAGTTCCTTATATTATACATAATGGAAATCTCTAATTTTAAATTGGAAAAATTAACATCTTTTATATTATTTGATGACATTACAATGAAAAAAAATTTGCATATTTTATAATCAGTGCATTATAAAATATATGATTCTAGATAATTAACATTTTAATGTGTTATATTTTGATCGAATAATTTATGTATTATTTTTAATACATTTTCTTTATTAGATTTTTGACAAAATTAAAAAAGAACAACCTCATGTGCTCACAAAACTTGTTCCAGTTCATGGTGATTTAACTTCCACCGAATTAGGTATTAGCCAGTCAGACATTACTTTATTAACCAATACAGTATCAATCGTTTTCCATTCTGCAGCTACGGTAAAATTTGATGAACCTTTAAGGTAAATAAATTATAAATTATGTATTGATTGTTAATTTATAATTATAAATTTATTTAATTATAAAATATTTATAAGTTTTATATTTTAAGAAATNTCTACAGCACGCTTTTTATCGGGACAATATTACACAACATAGTTTTTAAGCAGTTCACATTACGCACACTTGTTAAAATGTTTAAATCACATTTTGTAAAATAAAATTGCAATTTCCCAAGTCTTTTATCTTAAGTATTTGAGTGGAGCTTAAGTGGTAATTTTTATAAGTCACAACGTGATGAGTTTGTTAGAATTAAAAATTGTTCAACCTACAATGGTAAATAATAAGTAATACTGTGTACTTGGATGTAATTTTAAACGTTCATCAAACTCAATACATATGCACACCTTCCCAAAAGATAAATTATTGCGAAAACAGTGGAAAATAAAACTAAAGTTATCAGTTTAGTTTCAGCAACATCTAATTTTGCTGAGCTTAAAATTCTTTTATTTTTACAAACCTTTTCAACCTATCTAATATAGGCCATCGTCAGGTTTAATACATGGTATTATAAATGTTCCAAAATGGAACGTACCGTTTTTGAATATTTTACATATTTAAAAATTTTTTTAAATTTAACTTTAAAATAAATTAAAAGAAGTGTGTACATTAAATAAATAAATAAAAAGTAAATAAACAAATAAAACATAGAAAACAATGCTAACTAGAAATAAGCATGATTTAAGGGTTTTTAAGTCCCATTCTTTTTCCTATTATATATTTCCATTTTATGTACCCCAGCTTTCTCTTCCTTTTTTAGGCTATCTTTATCGTTCCATAGCAAGCTATAGATATTGGGTGTTCTTTTATAGACCATTCTCAAGTTTTTATAAGAAAAAAAGCACCCAATATCTATAGCTCGCTACAGAACGATAAAGATAGCATAAAAAAGGGAGAGAAAGCTGGGATATATAAAATCTCATGTGAAAATCAACAGTTAGGAATTAAAAAGATTATGTGGGTGTGACTAGAAGAAACCTGGCGGTATGTATGAGAGAACATAGATACAGTACAACGTTGACAAACGACACAACAACATTAGCGATTATGGCGCAGACTGAAGGAGCGATTGTAAAATGAGAAGAGGCCAGTCATTAAAACGGTGCACTCTCCATTCATTGCGTTGGAGATGGAAAAGGTGGAAATTTATAAAAGTAAAATGAAAAACCGTTGCCTAAATGCTAGTGCTCTTTCAACAGTATGGAAATATATAATAGAAAAAATAATGGGACTTAAAAACCCTTAAATCATGCTTATTTCTAGTTAGCTTTGTTTTCTATGTTTTATTTGTTTATTTACTTTTTATTTATTTATTTAATGTACACACTTCTTTTAATTTATTTTAAAGTTAAATTTAAAAANGAAACGAGATCAGAAACCAAATCCTGAGATGAATCAACACCGACTGACAATTCGATCCCTGTCGAAGATGTTCGATCTTAGGACTTACATTCATCTGTTGTTTTAACCTGAGACTCTCTCTCTTTTCTAACAATTCTATCAAACATGTCCTTATTTGGGCATGAAGCTTATACCCTTTCCTTAAATGGTTTTATAAAAAATTTTTTCTACAAAAAAACGTTTTTTTTTCTTTTCTTTTTTATTTTTGGTGTGGTTCCGACCCACTTCTAGATCCCTACACTAGGGATGCTAATGCGCTTCCAACAGCATAGAAATATATAATAGAAAAAGAATGGGGCTTGAAAACCCTTAAATCATGTTTCTTTCTAGTTAGCTTTGTTTACTATGTTTTATTTGTTTATTTATTTTTTGTTTTATTTGTTATTTTATTTATTTAATATACACACTTCTTTCAATTTATTTTAAAGTTAAATTATTTTTTTGAATTTTAAATATGTAAAATATTCAAAAACGGTACGTTCCATTTTGGAACATTTATAATATTGAACCTGACGATGGTCTATATTAGATAGGTTGAAAACGTTTGTAAAAATGAAAGAATTTTAAGCACAGTAAAATTAGGTGTTGGTGAAACTAAAGTGCTAACTTCAGTTTTATTTCCCACTTTTTTCGATGTAATTTATGTTTTGCGAATGTGTGCATATGTACTGAGTTTGATGAACCTTTAGACTTGCATCTAAATTCACAGCAATACTTATTATTTACCATTGTAGCTTGAACACTTTCTAATTNATTGATTGTTAATTTATAATTATAAATTTATTTAATTATAAAATATTTATAAGTTTTATATTTTAAGAAATATTGACTAAAAGTAATTGTATTTTTAGAAAAAACTTTGATTTTAGTAAAACGATTTATTAATAACTTTGTCAGAAACTTAACTTTTCAGTGTAAGGACTCTTACACTGAGAAATTCAAACTGGAAATGCTCAAAACTATCAAGAAGGCAACTTTCTTCCAACAACTTTATTTAATATTGGTTTGTTTGGAAAGTTCATAGCTATTTTTAAGAGAAATAAAAGAACTGTTTTAAAACTAAAACATACTTTTATTCCATTACATATGCGCCATTGTTTTTAGTGATGTGTTGCCATCTATGGGGGAGCTTCGTGATACCCTCTATGTAGAACTTTCCAGTTTTTTCCACGAAAAACATTCACATGGTTTTGCACACTTCCAAAGTAGCAAAGTTTTTATCGTGAAAAGAATTTTGCCAAGTGTGAGCATGTGGAACAATTTTTGTAATAGCTTGCAGCAGATTCCAGCATACAGAAACAAACAAATTGAATGACAAAAAAATAACATTTAAATATTATTTATTTTATAAAGTAAATAAACAAATAAAACATAAAAACCTTCTAGTTAGCTTTGTTTTCTATGTTTTATTTGTTTATTTACTTTTTATTTATTTATTTAATATACACACTTCTTTCAATTTATTTTAAAGTTAAATTATTTTTTTGAATTTTAAATATGTAAAATATTCAAAAATGGTATGTTCCATTTGGAATATTTATAATATTAAACGTGACGATGGCCTATATTAGATAGGTTGAAAACATTTGTAAAAATAAAAGAATTTTAAGCCCAGCAAAATTAGGTGTTGGTGAAACAAGTGAATTAGTTGCTAAGAGGTGGATAGATATGAAGTTATCAGTTTTAGCAATTCCTCTCCTTACAAAACATCTTTTTCGATCACCCACATATTCTAAAATGTCACAAAGTGTATTCATCATGACTTAAATGACTATGAAATCAATTAGGATTAATGTCGGACACAAATGCAGATAAAACGTTTTGACTACAGAGAGAAAAGATATTAAAAAGACAACACACATGTAACTCTCATATGTTGTCACGCACGCTTGTGTCAGCCATTTTGGTTTGTGGCAGCCATTTTGGTTGACTCATATGCCACCTATATTTACTGGCACAAGCAAATTATTTTTTTCCACTGCTGTTATGAAAACTTAATGTTGTTACTGATATTAATGATTAATTAAATTCAAATTCTTTTTATTAATCATAATAGATAATAATTCCTGATACAGGAGTGTACATTGATTAGTAACATTACTTATTCAAAAATTTTTTTGATTATGTAAAAATTAAGATATACATTAATAAATTGACAATATTATACTACTCAAGTTGGATTATTTAATATTGTTATAAAATATTTATATAATCTGTATAGTAAAGTTACACTTGTTTGGAATAACTTTGAACAAAATCATTGTATAGAAGTATAATTGCTAAAAAAACTGTTATGCTTTTTTGAGACACTGAAGCATCTTAAACTCATAACACAGATGGAAAATAGCCCCTTATTTTACATTCAGAACATAGACCATTGTGGAGTTCTAAAAATTCAGAATTTATTGTTAAATAAAAGCTGACCAATCTTAATTGAATATCTAGTCTTTTGATATAAAATGGAACTTTTTAGTATATATATTATAACTACTTAAAGGTGGAAACCCCATGTTATCAGACTACCAACTGTGGTACTTTGAATTTTCTGAACAATTTGATTCCACTGTGTCTAAATTATCCAATATTTGGTCTAATTATAATGAATAATCAAAATTCTAATTATCTTCAATTGATGAAAATAAAATGGCATATCTGGTTAGTGTAAAAGAAAACTTGGAAAACAAATAGTTTCTATATTGATTTTTGCATTTATACAAATCTTGTAGTTAATCTATTTTTTTTATTCTTTTAAAAAAGTAATAATTCTAATTATCAAAAAAGTCTTCAATTTCACTATGTTTACATCATGTTTTATATCATAGCCATATATAGTAAGACCCCGCTTAACGTGGGGGATGTGTTCCTAGACAACAAAGTGCTAAGCAAAACAGTGTTAAATGAGGTAATTTTAAAATAGAGTAAATAGGAATAGAGAAACACACAACTGAAAATAAAAAAATTTTACTTTAATTTTAAGTTATTTTTATATTAATTTGTATAATAATATATGTTAAATAACACATAAACATATGCACACAGAAATGTAAAGTTTATTTTTTGTGATGAAGGTCCTGACTTTTCTGAAATTCTTGTTCTTTTGCAATAAAGTCATGAAGTTTCATTTGTCGCTTTTTTCTTTCCTTAAGCAAATGTCTGTAGCAGAAGATTGCATCCAAAATGCCTCATTTTGCTTTTGCACTTCTTTCAAAATCTGGATCATTCGCTACAATTTGATCAATGATTTTGGTTATCTTACCAAAAAACTTTTACTAAGGAAATCTGTAGAGAAATTTTTTGGGTTCTTTGTTTTCAGAAACTCTGTTTTCCAGTTCCACGTGAATTCCATGTTTTTCCAGTTTTTGAAGGTCATCATTGGTAAGGCTCTCACCTGAAACCTGCTGTAACTCCTCAATATCCTGCTCATCTATATCTCCTAGTCATGCTATATGAATTAGGTTGAGTCTGGTGAACATAACAATACGATAGGTTTCTTCTCATTGAGAATTTTTGGATACCTTCAGCCATAACTTCTTCCACACTTCGTTCGTGCATTTATCGGTTAATTCTTGCCAAGTGAATTTTATGTTTCCTATGACATCCATGATGATATATTTTTTCCAAAATTGCACCAAACAAACATAGATTTAAAGAAAGTACATCTTTTTGCCACCTTTTGCTGATTGGTTTGTGTTCACAAATAATCGTATTATATACGAATCAATGAAATGCCGCAATACTTTAAATTGGTGTAAACTTTGAGCTTTTTTTAGGCTTCAAGCAGACCGTGCTATATTGAATCAGCATTAAGCAGGGTCTTACTGTACTACATTATTCAGATAGAATAATTTTTTAATGTAAATCATTTTCTTTAATTCAATGCACCTTAACCAATCTCTCCACACTGGAAATGCATAGATTTTTTTTCTCTATCTTCATTTTTAATTGGAATAAAATAAAAATTAATTTTCTTTTGTAGATGTAATTTTGACAGTGAAATGATTGCAATATCATTGATATATTGGATTAAATGAATGATTTGATTGCCTATTAAGATTTCATCTTCTCTACTATCAAATGATTTATCTATATCATATAACTAAATAAATATGAGTAGGAAGGTTTACTGATACAGTACAGGTGATCTGTACTGTGTAAAGCCAGAAAGATTTTAAAAGTTAATCATTAATTAAATTTATCCAGAATTATTGTTGATTAAATTTTGATATTCTGTAAAATGGAAATTATTAAAATGAAAAATTTAATTTATTAATTTTATGTAAATCTTATTAAATTCTTTCTAGACTTTCAGTGGAACTGAATGTTTTAGGAACAAGACGACTTGTAAATCTCTGTCATAAAATGGTTCATCTTGAAGTAAGTTTTTTTATTTTAAAATGTACATAAAAGTTCTTTTTATTAAGTTTTAATTATTTTAACTTTTTATTTATGTGATTGTTACATTTTATCCAATTAATTTGAAAAATTAAAAACATATGCTAATTTTAACTGTTCTTGAAAAGATTATATCATCTTTTATCTCAGTAATGTTAAATATATACTCAACAAAGTTGAATATTTAGATTTTCCTGGATGGTTATGAGATGATGCAATTTCATTATGGAATTGAAGCATCTGAATTTATAATAATGTAATACAGTAGAGTCCTGAAAACACGGCACTTGATAAACCGGCAGTCCAGATAACTCGGCCACACCCTGGCAGGGCAATAAAACCCTTAGTTAATTTTCATTATAGACAGCTTTATGCCTCATAAAGTGTTTTTCTGAGGTCTGTCTTATCAGGTAAATTACTGTACACAGTGTATTCATTAATTTTCATTTTCATGTAGTAAAGGCTCTATGTCTTCATAAAGTATGTACTTTTCCTTTGTTTAAGGGTATTTGCACAGTTTATTCTCTGTTGTATTCTCAAGAAAACAATACATACAAGTACAGTACAGTATTTTCTGAGAAACACTCGGACTTATTCTTTTTTAACCCCATTCCCGATAACCTGGCATTTTCACAAACTCGGCCATCCTTTGGTTCACATTAGGCTGAGTTTTCAGGACTCTACTGTAATAATAATAATTTTTTAAAGAAAGAAAAAAATTAAATACTCCAGCTTTGTATGAAATCAATATTTGATTCTTTTATAATTTATAACTTTAATTATAAACCATTTTATTTTAATCTCTTGTACTGAAATAATATATCTACATATGATGATAAACATTTGTGATGTACTGTACACTTAATCATTTAATTAACAGTAGAGAAATTCTAAGAACATACTAAAGTGACTTGTATCAAGTACTTTTGTCTCTGAAACTATGATCTGGAGAAAGTTCAATTATTTGTTTTGCATAAACATTAAATATATATTAGCAAAACACTTTGTATTTTTAACTAATAGCAGTTGAATTACATTGTACAATATGAATAAACTAGTAGCCCAGGACACCCCCTAGTGGGCGTTCTTTACAAATTCCCATGAGGCATGGTTCCTTTGACTCTTTTGTTCCTATCAATATGCTCTACAGCTCTGTTAAAGTCCCAATTGCGTCATAAGGATCTAGATTTCTAGGTATTAAACATTCTATAAATACTTTAAAATAGTTTAATTTGTTTATTTACCTTTGCTTGTAAACCTCGATTTTAAATGTATCCGCCATTTTTTCAACAAATTTCCTGTGAGTCAATGCGTGTCGTTCACTGAGTCACGAGATGCTGTAAACGTACGGCGCAAGGTTAATCAAGGCATATAATAAGGTAAGGTAAGGTATATAATAATTATTTATACCATTCCGTGATATAAATAATAAATTCATATCAATAATAAATTTCTATTACAAATAAAAATAATTTATTGTTAATTTAAAATCATCACTAGGGCACCTCTATTGCCCGTTTTTGGTATACCAAGGAATCTCTAGTTACAACAATCTCAGAAACATGCATCACTTCCATTCTTGACTTACCCAACTTATGGGTCTCCTTATATAAACAGTTAAACAATGATTTACATCATCTGTCACACTGTTAGCATGGACCAGCATCCGCACATGCACCATATTACATCATACACATAACATTGCACACACAACATTGAATATTCGAAATTTGTAGCTGGCTCATAACAACTTTAATCCAAAATTTTTTGTTTCAAATTATATGCATTCCATTTCCATTCAAACATTTATGTTCAATTTAAAACTTTTTATTCACCTGAAGACAACAAAAACAAATTTGTTGAAAGCTCTAGCAAGAAAAAACTAGTAATAACGCCATTCTCAGTGAACTTTGCTTCCTACTAGTAGCATTATTATAACCCAATGTAATCCAGCAATCATTTAGCATTACTTCAGATTTATTTACTATTAAACACAAGACTGTGTTATTATTAAAACACTTGGCGTTTATCCACTTTATTCAGTTGATACGGGCACTTTTACACGTTTTGGGCGTATAGCCCCTCATCAGTCAACTGATAAGAAGAAACATATACATTAGATTATTACATTTTGTAAAAATTATATAACTCTAAGACTCTCGATTCTAAGACATGTAACATTTAAGACATACCATTAAAAATGCAATGACACTCGTACAGCACAAGTTATTATTCACTGCTGTTAGGATAAGTTGATAACATATATCTATTAAGATTTTCTTTATCTCACCTTGTATCCTTGCGCTGTATGTAGTATCCATTCGTTGAACTGTATACGTTATTTTCTTTCTATAGATGGAAGTTGCCGTTTCTATAACTAAACTTGTAGTTGATTCGTTTTTTGAAACCGTGTTTTTGTATTTATTTACTATTAAACACAAGACTGTGTTATTATTAAAACACTTGTCTTTTAATGATAATACAACACGTTTTCTTTTGGATGACATATCGGTAATATTAAAAGTAAATACTGTATTTAAATCGTGATCAAATTTTCAAGAAACAAACGTTCGTATTGAATTTGGACTACTACTGACCAACTCTAACAGACTACCTATTGTTTAAAAGGCCCTCTGGTGGCGCAAGAAGACGGATTTTATAAAATAAAAAGCAGTTGATACTGCATTTTTATGAATAAAAATGTGACAAACTATTTATCGTTTATGACGAGTAAAATTTTTTTGTCGCGTTCACGGCTTTTAAGTAATGCATAAACCTTCGAGGTGCAAGGCCCTTCGGACCGCGAGGCATAGGCGGTGGCCCACGTCGTCCATGCCTTACGCCGCCCTTGGTCATAGAAATGATGTAATTTGAATATAAATTATTTATAAATACATATGTCAAGTTATATTTTTATTACTACGTAAAATATATTTAAGAGTTTACGACCACTGTGCTGGGTGAGACGTTGTTGAAACAAAAAAAGTTATGCATTCCATCATGTACATAAATAGTGTCGTAATTCGCCAAGTGCAAATCAGCAAATTCGTAAAATTTTTGCTTATTTTGAACAATCCGGATAATGGAGGTTCTACTGTATTAAAATATTTGTGTATTTTTTTTAATCTATGTTTATTATTTTTAATAATATTTAAGATTATTTTATATCATAACCATTGATAAATATATTAATGTATAAAAAAATACATTAGGAATTAACTTCTAAAAATATTTATCTGTATATAGTAACATTTTTACTTTGATAGGCTCTTGTGCATGTATCAACAGCATATTGTAACTGTGATAGAGAAGACATTGAAGAAATAATTTATCCAGCACCCGTAACACCACAAAAGATAATTGATGCCACAGAGTGAGTTGCTTTTATTTTGCATTCCAGTAAAGAAATTTATTAAAATAATTTAATACAAATATATCAATTTAATTAAATTTATTAAGTGATCTTAAATTTTAAACAGATGGATGAATGCTGAATTAATGACAGCTCTCACTCCTCATTTGATCAAAGGACGGCCTAATACGTATACGTTTACAAAAGCTTTAGCTGAAAATTTATTAGTAGAAGAATGTGGAAATCTTCCAGTTGCTATTGTTCGACCATCAATTGTTACTGCAGCCTGGAGAGAACCTATTCCAGTTTGTTTTTAAATTTTATTTAATAATCTGCTACAGAAATTAGAAAATATTGGATTAAAATTTTTAAATTATTTAATCCATTAGCAAAAGTTTAATAATTTTTATTTGAGAACAACAAAATATTTTCAGAAAATTCTCTTGAATGGAGAATACAATAAAACATTCAGAGAAAAAATATTGGAATAATTATTGTTAATCATAATTATGTTTATTTTTCATTTTATTTCTGAAATTTAAAAAAATCATTTACTTTCTATATATCATTTTGGTTTATTTTTTTATGCTAGAACTTTTAAACAGATCAATTAAATAGACTTGTTGTCCATTAGAAAATTATTTAGAGAAAACAAATTTCATACAGATTTTGCTTTTTGTGTGTCTTATTTACTGATGATTAAAAAGTGCAGATAAGGAATGCTTATTAGAGAAAATTGAAAATTTTATATATTTTTTTGAATATATATATATTAGTGTGTCCCTTATTTTGATGATAAAATTTTGTCAAAATCTTTGCACCTACTCCTAAATTTTTGCATTTGGTCAGAATTACTCAAATATGAAGTTTCATTTTGATAGGATGACATTAACCTGTGCCAACTTGAGCACGAAACTTGAATACAAGAAATGATTGACATGGAGAATATTAAACAACAGTAAAAAAAATCAATAACTAAGAAATATAACATTTTATTAAGTTTTTGATATAGTAGTTGTCTGTAACATTCAATACAAGATTAGAAATTGCTGTGCACACTTTTTCTTCAAAAATTTCCTTTTTTTTTTTTTTTACAATTTGGATATAGCATTTGATGGTCTTGCACACAACACAATGCAAACTCCTTTTGTTCTTCATCCATAATAAAAAATCTGTGAAAGTCTGGCAATAATTTAACAGCTCTTTCAGCGGGGATATGTACAGCTCCTAACATGTCGACTGTCCTTTGGGCTTCTGAAAATAAAATGTTGTTTTTCCATGTTGAAGGACATTCCTGGAGGAAAATTGTATCCATTTATAGGCAAGAAAAGTATTCTCTACTTTGATTTGTTTCTCATTTTAGAAAAAACAACTGATGACTTTGTATCAATTCAGTGAGGCAAGGTCAATAAAAGTATGCTACTACAGTAAAAAGAAATTAAACATACCAAATAATTACTGATCCATTTCTACATGCAGTTGAATAAATTTCCTTTTCCTACATTGATGTTCTCTACACAAATTGACCAACATTTTACATTTGATTTGAAGGTCAACATTATCATCAGAGATAGAACCTGCCAGTTCTTCATATAAATACCACAGGTGTTGGTTATGCTTTTTTAAAGCTGCTGTAGAAATGGTTGTATCTATCACTTCATATAATTTTAATGACTTCAAGAAGCAGAGATCTTGGTTAGAGGCTTTTACAGCTGCACTACACTTAAGCCATGGTTTAATGTAAATTGTTACATCAAACAGAGAAATATCACAAATCTTCCTTTTCTCTGTTGGATAGTTTAATTTCTGATCTTAGGAGAAACATTTTTAGGGAATAAATTGCTCTTGCCATCCATCGAGCTTGATGCAAAGCATTTTTTTCCCAAAAGATCACACACTCATGAACTACAAGATTTGCACTCTTGCTTATAGTTAGCTTAATCTCTTGTATATTGTAAAATAAAACAATCAGTATTTTTTATTTGATTGCAGTTTGCCTCAGACTATTTGGTGTTTAACATTCTCTATCAAAAACACACTATTTTTGGGACTACCTAATTTGTACAACATAATGTTAGTGTAAAGGTGCACAAAATCATCTAACACAGCTGGAATCCAAACACAAGCTGACATTGCTTCATGGGTAATGACCAATCCAGGCTTGAGTGAAGCATGTCACATCCAGATTCGTTTTTGACACATTGATGCTCAAGTTCATATGGATTAACATTCATTGATCATCATGAAATTAAATATGGACATGTTTTTGAGTGAAAGGGAAAAAATGAGCAGGTGGGAGTATAAAAATTTTGAAGAGGAAAAATAAGAGACACACTAATATATATGTATATATACACATCTTTTGTATGTATTTTAAAACTTTTTGTTTGATTTTTATTAAAACATTCTGCATTATTTACTAAATATTTATATAAATACAAATTTATTTCAGGGATGGGTTGACAATTTAAATGGTCCTACAGGTTTGCTTGTGGCTGTAAGTATTTTATTTTACTTTACTGAAATTATTAAGTAGCTAAACAGTCTTACTACTAATAATTAACAATTTAAATTTCTGATCTTTTAATATTTTATATTCTAAATTCATTTTGCATTGAAATGTTTTTCATAGTTTATATAATTAAAATTGTTTTACTTTTGTAATTACTTTAATTTTGTAAATACTTTATTAAAATTTTCTTTTAGTGTTTCTTACAATATACTAGTAAAAAACCTAGTTAATGTTTAATGTCAAAACTTTTATTTTTTAAACTTGAAAATTTTCTACCTTTATTACCTGATTGTACTGTACCCTAGTTTTTTTAATGCCTAGTATTTATGCCTAAATATCTCATTTTCTGCAAAAAATCTTAAGTATAACTGTAAGTCTTTGAAGATGAATACTTTTAAACTAAAAATATTTGAAACAGTCATAATTTTCACAATTAGGATATGAATAATTTATTAAAATATATAGAATTTGGTAATTTTTGCAATGAAACTGTAGAAATATGTGATAAAACTAATGTAAAAATATACAGTCTTATAATTATAATTTTAATAATAATAAATTTATAAAATTATAAAAACAGAATTTAAAACTCCAGGATTTTAAACAATTTGACAAATTTTTTTTTAATATTTGAAGAGGAAGAAAGTATTAATTTTGTAGTAAAAACTTCCTGGAGAATTGTGATTTTGAAAGATTATAATTAATTTCAGAATAAAATTAGAAAATTTTCAATGTGTTAATAGACACTTAATATGTAAATTTTTCTTTTGACAGTCCACTAAAGGTATGTTGCAGACTTTACACTGTCGTTGTAATGGAGTTGCAGATTTAATTCCAGTTGATGTTGTTATCAATCTGATGATAACAGTTGCTTGGAGCACTGCAGTACACAGGTATTTAATATTTTATTTATATAATATAAATCAAAGCTTCTTAAACTGTTTGTTGCAGTCCCAAAGGACAAAAATTTGACAACTAAATTTTTGTATTATGTATTTATGTAAAGCAGCATTTTTAGTATTGATGATCATAAAATTGAGTTGTTGATCAACTCTGAAAAAAGCCAATGATGCTATCTGCATTTTGCAATATCCAGCCAAGATTTAATTCTTTATATAGAAATAAACAAGAACATCCATCTCAGTAGTATACAAATTTGTTTTATTTTTAATAAATGGTGAAGTAACACATATATTAATGAACTGTTTTGGAATGAATTGTTTCGTAATTTATTATCAGTGATTGTATTTGAGTAACTATTTTTATACCTGTATATTGGGGATCACATAAAATTCTCTTATATAAAAGAGTTGTTGTGAACGGAAAATGTTTAAGAAGCTCTGATCTAAATTATTCTTTAATGTTATCAAGTTTTTGTATTTGCTTCTAATCCGAGGACTTATCACACCTTTTGGGGAATGTTTTCAGTTGGACATCGAAAGACTTTTTAGCTGTTCTACTTTTAATTAAAAAAAACAAAGCTAAAAAGGTGACAAGTCCTCAGATTAGAAGAAAATATAGAAGCTTGATAACATTAAATTTCAACAGAAGGACAAGAAGCAAATTTTTAATTAAATTATTCTGTTTTTTTAATTGAAATTTGAAAGCTTTAATGTCATAAGTATAGAAATTTTTTAAAAATTAAATTAAATTAAATTACATTTAATTAATTAATTAAATTAAGACTTATTTTTAAATTATCATAAAATTAACTGAAGATTCATACCTAGAACATAATATATTGTTTCCTTAACTAAACTGTTTGAAGTTTTCTTTTTTTTTTTTTTTTAGTTTGTTTATGTGAGATTTAAGTTCGTTAATAAATATTTTCAGTTTTTCTTGCATCAGAAAATTTGTAATCAGAATGAAAACCATATTGTATAGTAATTTTGTAGTATTGTATTTTCTAATGTTTTTGATCATTTTGAAAGGTCTTCATCAGGAACATAAAATTGAATTAAAAAGCTGTATTATAAAGGTTTTTGTGTTGATGCTTGAGCAATACTGAAGCAGCATTGAGCAATATTTCTTCCTAAGGCATCACCAAAGGACTTCTCTCGGGACTCTGTCATACACTTTTTCCAAGTCTATGAACACCATATGCAGGTTTCTCCTCACAGATCAGTACTTCTCCATCACCTGTCTCACCACGAATGTGGCATCTGTAGTACTCCTCCCAGGCATAAATCCAAACTGGCCTTCAGTGACACTAGTTTCCTCTCTAATCCTCCGTTCAATTACCTTTTCAAAAAGTTTTATTGTGTGAGCCAATAGTTTTATCCCCCTATAATTATTACATTCCTGCACATCCCTTTTTCTTTAAAGATGGGTACTAAATAGCTTCTTCTCCATTCATTGGATATAGTTCCCTCTAACAGTACTCTGTTAAACAGCTCTGTTAACCAGTCTCTTCCCTCCTCTCCTAGGACTTTCCATACCTCTATTGGTATCTGATCCCGGCCCACTGATTTCCCATTTTTCATTTTATTCAATGCCAGCTTTACTTCCCATTTCTCTATCATGCCTACTAGGCCAATATTTGGCTCTACATTTTCAGTTTTAGTTTGTCTGTCATTCTCCACGTTCATAAGTTCTTTAAAGTATGTTTTCCACTGGGCCTTAATTTCTTCATTTTTAGTTAGCACTTTGCCATTTGTGTTCTTTATACACTTGATATAGGTCATATCTTTACTCCCTCTGCCTCTCATTTTTGCAAGTCTATATATGGCTTTTCTACCTACTTTTCCCAAGAGTGACCTATACATTTCATCCTGGGCTTGAGCCTTAGCTATGGCGACCTCTGTCTTCGCCTTCTTTTTCATCTGCACATAGACCTCTCTTTTCTCTTCCCTTACCTTATTATCTCCTTTCTCATTCTGCCAACTTTTAAAAGCATCTGTCTTCTCTCTTATAGCTTTCTTTACAGTCGACCCCCCTATAAGATATAGATACGTTCCAATTTATTAGGAATCCGATTTCTTACAAGTCGTTCCAATCACAGCCCGACACGTGTCAAGTTTACGGACTACGGCTGATTGAAAGGTTTTCTTCCATAAAATTAATCGATTCTACACTAATCCGACTCAACATTTCCAAAATACGTATATTTTTTCGTAGTTTTATAGGAATCGTAATTATAGGGGGGTCGACTGTACTTCATTCCACCACCATGCCTCCTTCTCTGTTTTCCTAACTGACTTTGTTTCTCCCAGAAGTTCCTTTCCAATCCTTCATATTTTCCTGGTCACCTGTATCCACCATTCATCTGCCAAGTCATTGCACTTCATGTTACCATTAATAACGCTTATTACTTTTTCTTTAAACTCTATTGCCCTTTCCCCTTTTAACAACTACCATTTAATTTTAGGTATCTGTTTATCTTTATGCTTAATCCTATTAAGATCAATCCTTAATTCCATTACTAAGAATCTATGCTGACTAGTCAAGTCTTCTGGTATCACTTTACAGTCTTTAATCTCTTTTAGAGTAGTCTGTCTTGTTAATAGGTAGTCTATTTGTGATTTATGATCCCTGCTCTTATAAGTTATTAAATGTTCGTTAAACAATGATTTACATCATCTGTCACACTGTTAGCATGGACCAGCATCCGCACATGCACCATATATGCTAATTTTAACTGTTCTTGAAAAGATTATATCATCTTTTATCTCAGTAATGTTAAATATATACTCAACAAAGTTGAATATTTAGATTTTCCTGGATGGTTATNAATGTTCTTCACATTTATCAAAATAAGTGTTGACCACGACTAAATCATAGGTGGTGGCCATTTGCAAAACACACTCTCCTTCAAAATTTCTACCACCAAATCCTTTGCCTCCATGTACTCTCTCATAACCAGCATTATTTTTTCCCAACATGCCTGTTAAAGTCCGCTCCAATAAATATCTACTCATCTGTCAGTACCTCTGTCATTATCTTAGCCAAATCTTCCCAAAATTGCTCTTTAACTCCAGCATCTACACCTACTTGCAGCACATATGCACTGATTACATTAACTCTCAGTTCTCCAATACTCAGTTTCACCAATATTAATCTATCATTTACTCTATTGACTATGACTACATTCTTCTTTAAGTCGTTGTCTACGACTATCCCCACTCCATTCCTCTTTCCATCTTTACCACAGTAGAAAAGTTTATACCCTTTACCAATCTCTTTAGCTTTGGCCCCTTTCCACTTTGTCTCCTGTAAGCACGCTATATTGACTCTTCTTCTTCTCAGGGTATCTGTTAGTTCAGCTCCTCTCCCTGTCATAGTCCCTATATTCCAACTTCCCACTCTTAATGGGACTCACTTCTTACGTTGTCCCCGTCCCATATGAGACAACAACCCTCGTCCATTTCCCACAGCCGCTGGGTGCTGTGGCTGCGCGTCACCTATGGGGTACGCCCTAGTATTATCACATCTCAAAGTGGCATCAGACATTCCATACAAAAAGAATTGTCTGAGGTTTTTACAGTCAGCCGCCAACCAGACACCAACCTTCCCATTTTTCTAACCTGGACTGACCTGGCTGAGGAACCAGGCTTAGCAGGGATTTGGCAGTGGCCTAACACCTGAGCTCTTAGAGACTCACTACAGGCCTTAAGTGACAGATGGTCGTATACTATTTACAGATAAGGTGTGCCGCTTCAATACATTGTGACAATTGAAGATATGTACTATAGGGCCAGCACGCAAGTTAGAACTGCAGCCGGATTGATGGACATGTTCAAAATAAGAGTGGGCTTATATCAGGGGTCAGCACTCAGCCCATACCTCTTCCTATTAGTTATGGATGCGATAACATCTGCTGTACAAGAGGACGTACCCTGGTGTGTGCTGTTTGCAGATGACATAGTCCTCATTGGTGAGGGCAGGGAAGAATTACAGAGACGGCTAAACAAATGGCGACACGTGCTGGAAAATGAGGGACTAAAACTCAGCCAAACCAAGATGGAGTATATGTTCTGTAATTTTGACGGTCTCCTGGTACTATTTATTTATTTAGCGTATGGCTACACATCTAATTGTTAACAAGAACAGAAAGCAGAAAAAGTAAGAACACAAATCATAAATGTAAATCTAAGTTAGAAATATAGTTTAAAGCACTTTCAGTCATAATCAAGAAGTCACTCGGTTGTCCCGAAAAAGATCTTACTGGACAAACTTCCAAGATATGATGTATAGTCTGTCTTTCAGCACCACAGTCACACTGTGGGGATGCAACTTTTCCCCACCTAAAAAGACTGTCCCTGCACAACCCATGTTTGGTCCGAATCCTATTTAACACACTCCAAAGATTTCTGGATAACTCAAATCCAAAGAGTCGCTTTGTAATACAAGGAAGTTGTCAACTGTCCACCGGAGAGACATCAGCCCAGAGCCTTTTCCAAGATTCAGTGAGGTTGAAATTATTGGAATGCAGGGATTTAGCTCTTATAAGAGGAGGGTGTCTTGATTTAAGTCGATTTATGTTGAGGTCAACAATATCCTGATGGATCGGAAGTTGTGGATTAGACAATATTTTCCTATATTCCCTGAGCAAAGTGCTGTCCCTTCGGAGTGCAGATGGAGGGATATGGCTCAAAATAGGTAANATTTTTGAAACATGGCATTTTCAAATATTTATAAAAAAAATAATTAATAAAATTTTGTGTGTTATTTCAGTGATAAATATTGTATAATTTGAAATAATAAACATTATTATAACAGTGATCAAATAAATATTTCATTCATTTTTATGAAATTAAAAAAATAAGAGGTGGCCTTATAATTATGTAACAGACCTTAATTGGAATGCCAGTTAATTCAGATCGTCTTTTATTTAAGACTAGCAGACCCCGCCACGCGTTGTTATGGCTCAAAATGTATCTATTATAAATGTATA